TGTTTTAGTTATATTTCAAAGGTTTTAGTTATATTTCAAAATTTTCAATTCATCCATCCGTCCGTCCGTCTAGTCGTTCATCTATCTATCCATATACCTATTCATCTATCCATTTATTTATCCACCTATCTATCCGTCTATCTATCTATCCATCTATCTATTCATCTATCCATTTATTTATCCATCTATCTATCCGTCTATCAATCCATCTATCTAATCATCTATCTATTAATCTATCTATCTATCTATTTATCTATCCATTTATTTATCCATCTATCTATCCGTCTATCTATCCATCTATCTAATCATCTATCTATCAATCTATCCATCTATCTATTCATCTATCTATTCATCTATCTATAAATTTATCTATCTATCTATCCATCTATCTACCTATCTATCCATCTATCTATCCATCTATCTATCTATCTATCCATCTATCTAATTATTATCTATCAATCTATCCATCTATCTATTCATCTATCTATCTATCTATCTACCTTTCCATATACCTATCCATCCATCTATCTATCCAGCTTTCCATCCATTTATCTATTTTTTGAAAAATGAATTATAATGAATTGTCTCTCATATCACATAGAAAAGCAGTTGCCAGTCCTGTTCTAAACTAATCGTTGACCATGTGTGTGTGTGTGTGTGTGCGCGCGTGCGTGTGTTTGTGTGTGTGTGTATGATGTGTCATGTGACATGTAAGTAGGTCATTCATCACGGTTTGACGTCGTCGTGAGCAGAGTGACAGCCATGCTTTTGAAATGTTATCAATCAATTTCCGTTATGACGTCAAGTTGTTGCCAATATTTTTTTTTCCTGAAAATAGCAATTAGAAATTTTTCTTATTATAACCATCTTTGAAACGTGTTTCAATATTCAATTGTAATAATAATTGTTATGTGTATGCGAATGTATGCTTGAATTTGCCATGATTGGATGCAGCAAGTTGTTAAGAAATCATGAAACAAAAATTGATCATTTATCAACGAAATGAATAGATAGTTAATAATTGAAATGGTAATCCATCAACCATTTTTCAAAATTTTATAGTTAATTAAATATTAGTGGAATTAAAATAGAGCCTTAGATGAATAATGAAATAAAAACAAAGTAAAAACAGTTCGAAATAAAAGAAATGTGTTGTTTTTTATTTTAAATGGAATTTTTTGAAGCTCAACCAAAAATTAAATTTTTGCCCTGTTACTTCTTCTGTCACAATAGTTGCCAAAAACAATTTAAAATTTTTTGTAACTTTAGAGTTTTAATTCAATCGTTTCGAATTCGTTTGATCCTATTTTGAGGTAATTTCAATTTTTCAATGCGATTTAAAATTTCTAGAATAAAATCAAAGTATTTACAACGATGAAATTTTGTAGTTTGATTGTTTTAACGTAAAAAATCTTCAAAGAGGGTCTTCAATTAGTTGAAATATAATTTTCATAGTATAATTTGTATTTAATGAATAGGTATTATATCGGGATGACTTTTAAAATAAGTGACCATGGACTCAACTCATTCAATTATGGAATCGTCGGAAATTTCATTCGATACTTTTTCTCTCAATGAATGATACTGGAAAAAAATATTTTATGATTTTCACCTGTTGAACAATTATTTTGAATTTTTGGAATATGAATAAAAAAAGTCAAAAATTTTCAAAATGATGGAGGCGTTTGATAACAAGTTTACATTGCCCCGAATTAAGTCCGAACTCTCTTGGTCGTCTCCAGGCAACGTGAAACTGGTGTTTATCAATCTATTACAATTAAAAGTGAATTGTTTTCAAAATTGGAAAGAATAGATAAGCTTCATTTTTAATACCTCTTTGAGGTGATTATCTCATAGTACTCATTCCGAATTGAGTTTTCGTTGGTTTTGATTTGTTGTTGCCGTTGATGAAAATAATTTGTTATTAAATTATTATTGTTGACATTTTTGTTGTTGTAGTGAATGTTAGTGTTTATGTACGTACACACAAAAATCCATTGCTACTTCTAAGGAATTAATAATTTTTTGAATTTACCCTAGTTTTGATTGCTAGTTTACATAATAAAAATATTATGTAAATAATTTTCCTAATTTGTTGTTTGTTGTTATGGTAGTTATGTTGTTGTGTTGCATGAAATAGAGTTGAAAACACGAGCAAGTAGAAAGCAGACTATCAGCTGAAGTTGATTTTGTGATCGACATTCATCGATAGTAATCAATAGCAATTCTTGCTGTGTAAACTTGAAATTTTACTGAGTTTTCATATGAATCTCTTCACACCTAACTTGCATATTAGTTTGTGTACCTGGATGGATAATTATTATAAACAGACTGTTGAATCACATTCATTTATTTCTTCTTCATCACGATCTTCCGATTTTTCAAAGTACGAACGAATAAAATAAAATCAGATATGAGTGTCTTCTGACGAAGGTTTGCCTGTTTGTATATATTTTTTTATAATTGCATGCAACTAATGTACACATGTGGGATTGAGGTTATATGAGTTTCTGCCCGAAAAGTAAATAAAATTTCTAATAAACTCCCCAAGCAAATTAGCAAATAAATCATATTTCGATTCATTCATCAAATTTTTCGCTCAAACGAAAAAGCAAAAAATCCAAACGAATTAGTTTGTGAAATGCGGCTCTTTCTGTGGCCTAATCATGCAAACAGTAGCGGAGCAGAGCACAAACGCTTGTGACATTTTTCCATCATCCGCACGGTGCGTGTGTGAATTTATCATAGGTCTGAACTTTGAACTTTAATATTTCATTTCACGCACGAATGACATCACTTCCACTTTTGGGCAATTACATTTTAAACATTCCATCACAAAACATCAATCACGCTTTTTATGTTGTTTTTTTATGTTCTTTGTAGTAACTTTGTTTTATTTTATATTTTTTTTGGTTTTTGGTTGATTTGGCTTATTATTGGTTTATAATTTTACTTTCGCTTTCCAGAGAAATACATATTAATCATTTCATCCTTTTTCTAAATTTTCAAAACTTTTGATCAAAAACCATGCGCAATTTCATTTTTGTTTGTAAATTTCAAAGGTGTCACACAGTTGGAAGACACTAAAAATATATAGTAAATATAAAATCCATATTAACATAGTCACAGAATAACCATTTCATATATTTGTAAAATATAAAAATGAATACAACAACATCAAAAACTACCTTATTATCATTAATGTATTTACATCAACAACAACAATCCCATCAACACACAACACCAACAACATCAGCAAAAACAACATCAACCACACAACGAACATCAACAACCACATCAACACACAACAACAACAACATCAGCATAAACAACATCAACCACACAACGATTGCAACAGTAACTACTTCAGCTACAAGCACATCAATAATAATAACAAGACAGATTCATTAAGGATATTGCTCTCCAGCTATCTACTTTTCCTTCATTTCCTTCTTATTAATCATCGTACAGCATCACTTCTAACTATCATTACAATCATTGTCGCAATCAATATCATCACGTCATGATCATCATCACAATCTTTGTGCAGCCAGCCAACATCATAATCATTGCATCGCAATCTTTATCACTATTAACATCACTATATTCTCAATCAACATTATGTTACATCGGAGCATTATCATTACATCATGATCGTCATACCAATTACATCAAATTATCACATCTTCACATGGCAATCCCATCATTACATTACAACATTACTACAATCTTTAGTGTAATTTTTATTCACACTTGTCATAAGTAAACTACATAACTTTACTTAATATCAACGAAGTAACGAAGTCATTTAAGAGAAATTTAAACTGACGATGACTGTACTCAAGTTTCGATTTTTCTGTTGCAGTTATCGTTATTAATTAAAAAAAACTGATTTTTGAATTTAAACTTTTATTTTTGAAAATTCATTTTGAAAGATGGCCTCAAAGAACGAAATAAAATGAGATTTCAGTTTCCTTATAAATAAATTTCTTTTTAACGCCACAGCAGACACGCCGCCGTCTTAAAACAAAAATACAGGCATACAGATGACCATAAAAGGGACACATTAAATATTTTTTTTCATTTTGTTTATTCATTTGTTAGTAGTGGTGATGGTTAGTAAAATGAGTCAAATTTTTGATTTATATTTTAAATAACTGAGAAATTGAAATTCAAGTTTAGTTGAGTCAGTTTTTATCTCAATGAATAATTTTTGAATCATTTAAACGCGGTTTAGCATACCTATGGCTTACGCGTTCCTGCATTCAATCACAAAACAGTTTTCAAAAACTTCTTTATTGCAATAGACTTTTTGAACTTTAATGACTACCGTTCTATCACGAGAATATGGAGATATTGAGATGCTTCGCTGAAATCCCCAGACGCCTAACTTAATGATAACATAATATTACAGTTCTATTTAACACAAAAAACGTTTAAGTATTTCGATTTATTATGTATTGCTGGTAAACATGACTGTTGATAATGACTTTATATCAAATTTTTTAGTTGAATTTCTTTTACCAACTTCTACATTTTAATATGAATAGGATGAAAAGTACAAATTTGTTGGCGATAAATTATACGTAACTACAAGCCGAAGGAATTATTCACAATAAAAAGCATACAAGCACAAATAAGAAACACGCACACACATGCCTACGAATGCACATAAACAAGCAGGCATTTTTGTAGTAGCAGCTTGATTGATGGATCAACATCCACCCTCGTCTTGTTCATTGCAACAACCAGACCAAAACAAAAACAAAACCAGATACAAAAACAAAAACAGACGATACAAGAAGTAAATAACAAACAATACAAGAAGCATATTTGATGACCACGAAACATCGCAGGCACTTCGCACGTAGGCCAAGCAACATTCACGTACATCAACTCGTGAAAATGAAAAAAATGATGTAGGATGCATTTGCTGAACTTCAAGTGTTAAAGAACAAGCGCATATTTCAATACATTTATTAAGCCTGCACTCTATATCTTTATTTTACCATAGTGTGCTTGGGATTAGAGCTGGAAAATGTTCTGTTTATGTGCTGGTTTGCAGCTAGGCAGATAGATATGTGCGCATTTGTTTAATTAATGTACGGAGTTGTCAGCGTGTAATTCGTGTAGGCATTTATGTCCGCAAGTTTATAAGGCAAAAGCAGGCAACGCATGTTATATCCCTATCACTTCTCGTTCAACTTCGTAAAGTTTTATTACTTTTTATTCCTCTTATATTGCTTTGGCATATTTTAAATGTTGAGAATTTTGTTCCTGTAGAACGTATAATGCCAATGTATCAACTCCGTACTGATACATATAATATTTTATTCCGTAGAAATATTGTTTTGCCATTATTTATCGGCGCATTGCATTGTTCATGTTTTTGAATGATGATGGTTTTTTTCAAATTTGAGAAAATTTCATGGATAATGTAAGATGAAAAGTTTTTTTGACATAAAAGTTAAATGTCAGAGCACAGTTTGACATCACTTTTTTGTTTGTAAGACCCGAAAATTAAAAAAAAATAAATTCTTATCTGAAATTGAAATATGAACATGATTGGCCAGATCACAACATGTACGTCATAAAAATTATATAAGAGTTAGGGAAACTCTTTTAAAATATTTTCAAAACCAAAAAACTTTGAAAATCATGAAAACAATTATAAAATTATAAATGTTATGTTAGAAAAAATTTAGGAAACAATTTAAAATATAACAAACAAAGTGGGGAAATTCAAACTAAACTGAGTAAATTGGTCTGAAATATTTTAACTGCGTTCAGAGCCAACATCAATCATTATCTAAAACATCAGAACACCAAAATCGAAATATCAATATTAAGTTATTTGTAACTTCAGGACTATCCAATCATTATTTAAATCGAAACTTATTCATTCCTCATTCATCAAATGGCAAAAATTTTACAAAAGCTTGATGCAAGCTTCAAAATATATATTACTGAGAACATTACTTTCTCTGTTAAGACAGCTTGCAATTGTGCTTTTGTTTGCCTGGAAGTTTTTCAAACTTACAAATTAATTCAAAATTTAAAACAAAAAATTATCCACCTCAACGTAGAAAACTATATTTCTTCAAAATTCAAAAAAAAATATTAAAAATGAAAGTGGAAATACTGTATGCTCTGTGATCATTTTTCAATGAGATGTTGTTCTTATGGAAAGCATATTTGTCCGACTGATGAACTTGTTTACACGACGGCAGATGGGAATGATGTGATTGTCTGGTCATCATCTTCTTCTTCCTCTTCTTCTTTCTCTTCTTCGTCATCTTCTTCATCATTCTTATCAACTTTTTTCTCATCTTCTTCCTCTCCCTCATCCTCTTCCTCTCTTTTTCTTTATCTTTCATTTTATAATCAGCATCATCTTTAACCAGATTGCCTTCATCATCATGTTTATTTTATATTATCATCTTCTTTGTCGTCATAAAAACTTTACTGTTAAAAGACATCTTGTCATTACTAATCGAACTTTTTTCATTATACTACATACGTAATCGTCTTACCATGAAAAAATTATTATTCCACAGTCGTTTTTTGCAATCATTTATATTATCACCACTTTCGATATCTCTAGCATCTTCACCATCCACATCTTCATCCTCATCATTTTCTTCATCTTCATCATCAATATTGCCCGCTTGGTGCTTACCATGCCATGTTTCATGCTTTCTCTTCGCGTTGTTTCCATCAAAAAACTTTCAACATCCAATTTATTTCATTCCATTTTATGTGCGGCCTACTTGCATTGTTCATCTGTGCGTGCTAATTTCGGCGTTTATGTGCACGTGTGAGTCTGTTTTCCTATGTATGTATGTGTGTATGTATGTGAGTATTTGAGCATGTGTGTGTATGTGTATCTGTTTGATATGAGTATTTGAAGATGTAGGTGTGTGTGTGTTTGTTTGTATGTGGGTATTCGTATATGTGTGTGTGTTTGTTTTTATATGCGTGTACAGTTATGTGTGAATTTATTTGTTATCACACATACGTTTGTCAAATTCTAATACAACACAATAAAATAATTTAATTTGAATGTATTTACCTGAAAATTCACACCCAATACGTACTAAGAAATGAACATAAAATAGAGAAAATCTACTGTTGATGTTTGTACGTGCAGATATTTGTACGTGAAATTGCATAGTATGCGCACCATAATTGTACAGGAAAACGATTTAGTCTACTGGTTCGTAGATTTTAAGTAAGAAAATTTTTTAACGTAAAATGAATTTTATTTCCGATTTTCATATAGAGTAGGTTGGGTGCTGCTTTTCCAAGTGATTCTCACATTCAAAAGTTCTTACCTACCCGTAACTTGTTCTTCATAGAAATGCATATACGGACATGTAAACACATAAACAAACACACGTTGTAACATACATACATATACATACACCTATTCACACGCAACATACACACACGCACACACACACACACACACACACACACACACACTTAGACAACATCATCAAAACTCTACAGACACACGCAAGTAACACATACACGCAAGCCAATACATCAACTAAACCGAAACAACAGAAATATGTACTAAACAATTATTATTTTTTTGATCCTAAGGTTTGGCCACTTTCTTCTTCGCATTTGTCTTTCATATAATTTTAGCTAAAATTTATATTTTTTTATTTCTTTTGAGTTACGATGTTTCCTTTGTTAAATTCAAAACGGCAAGTGACAAATTTTTACAACGGCGTTTCTTCCATTTCCCACATTTCTTGGACTCTAAATGTCACACAATTATTTAACACTTTACAAAAATTGCCTCTTAGCTCTCAATTATTTTGTCATTCCATGACATTATATTTCTCTGTTCAACATTTCTCTGTTTTTCTAAGTTTCATTCATTGTCAACCTCGAAATAAAACTTTCAAGAATGATTGAAAATTCAATATATAAAAATCAGGGAGAACATTATTTTGCTGATGTTTATACGAAAAAGTGTGTGTTTGCATGGTAAATCTATAAAAAAGAACAAATTGTGAGGAGTTTAAAAAAATTACTTCAAATTTTGTATGTTTTTCTTTATGTTTTTGTATGTATATTTTCTATGTTCATGTTTAAATACATGCAAAATATATTTTGAATAAATTTTTAGTTGTAAAAAAAATTATATGACAACGAACATGTTGAAATTTGAAATGGAATTTTCATGTTTTATAGCACTTGCAACATTTAAAATCATAGATCATTTCGTATTTAACATCGGCGTTGCCAACAATTCGTAAAACTAGAATCGCAACTGCACCGGAGATAGATATTAACACCACCGACAGCAAAATCTGTCTGCACCCTAATCCACATCATCATCTCGTACTCACTGTACTCGCTAAGTTCGCCGCTAATCTCAAAGACGTTTCAACAATTCCACAATTGAACACACAGTCCTGCAAACAACATACGTACGTATAAACACACACACATACCACACAACAAACACACACGCACATGCCACACAACACACACACACACACATGCACATATATAGGCACCCATCCATATACAAGTAAACACATACACACATGTATATAAATCTATATTTTACATCGTATACACACATTTTTTAAGCACACACACACGCACACGCACACGCACACACGCCTTCATGAAACTTACCTACACTGGAGTCGTTCACCTATCAACTCAAACATTGTGCACATTAAAAAAGGTACTTTACATATTCCTTCCAACAAATGTTTCATCACGTTCCGATTCATCAAATATTTGCTTTCCATATTAAACTTCGTTTCATCTATCACATGCATTCATTCATTCGTCAATTCATTCCATCTATCCACGAATCGATCAATTAGTACCTTCTCTACATATTCACCCATCTATCCAGCTTTCCCATCCATCCACCCATCCATCTATCTATATATTCATCTATCCATCCAAAAAATATAATTTTTTAATTTTCTCTATTTCAATCCCTCTTCAAATGTTACTTCTTAAATGCCCGCCAGGGAAAAAGGATAAAACAAATCTTGCGAACGCTGCCTAAACCAGAAGATTCAAACGAGCACATGTTTGTTTCGCAACCTAAAAAACGTTTTAAAAATAAATTTCACACATGCATAATTCTATTTTGACAACTTGTTTATAAAATTTATAAAAAAAACTTATGTACATAGAGTTTGCAATTGATACCAGTCAAATCGATCTTTACAAACAAACCACACACACCACACCACAATACACACACACGCCACACCACAAACACATACACCACACACACATAAACTACACACACAAAAAAAACATACAATATATGAAAAAACGAATGAACATACATATAGTTGTACGCACCTAACAAGTGCCCAAACACACAGCAAACCAACTCAGACATTTAAAAAAATTTTTTATTCCTCGAGAAATTTAACTCTGTCAAGAGCAGATGATGTTGCAACATGTCAGGTATAGCATGGCTGGCAAGGACTTAGAAGAATTCATAAACATATTCAGAAAAATAAAATTTAAAAATAAATATAAGTCAACATGTTTATAAAAATAAACACACATTAATACTAACATATACAAAGGAATAGACAAAAATAAAGAGATTTAGAAGCGAAGAAATATTTTCAAGTAATGGTATATTTACATCATCTGCAAATACGTAAACATGGATTTATAAAAATGCACATATAATTGGATATTTAGACATACAAACGAATGCACAAACAGACACATAAACAAGCACACACATACACATACATATATATATATATATACAAACACATATTGATGATTGTATATTACAGGATGATTGAATTTATTATTTTGGCTTCTGTTATTGCGTTTTTCTTGATTAAAAGTAATTATTTAATGTTAATAATTTCGGAAATTGTAGTTTTTAATTTTTAAGAATAATCTGGTATTAAATTTAATTCTAAAACTTTTGCTATTCTGGTTAAATTTTGTAAAGTTTTTGTTTTGAAGTAACGTCACGTGATAGAAAAAATTACCTGCTGTTAAGATCTAGTTTAAACTATTTATTATTTTGGATGCAACAATAACAATGAGCACACATTACAACACGTTAAAGTAGTTCCTAAAAAGAAGTTGTTGCTTTGTGCTTGTTGCTAGTTTTGCATTCATAACTAACGCGAAATTAACGATGACATTTTAGAGGTTCTAATAAATTCCTATTTATTTCATTTAATTCATTCAACTAAATACTGATTTGATTGATTTTTCTAAGGAACGTATATCCAGTGACAAATCAAAACCACTAATTTTGGTTGTTTGCTGGTTATGGTTGCAGGACCTTATAAAAACGATAACAAAAGTCTGTTCCTGGCAGATTAAAGAGTTATATAAAGTGCGTAACTCTCTAAATATACCTGCCATTCAGACGTTGGTACATGCATTTGTTCTTTCGAGATTAGATTATTGCTCTGCCTAATAAACATGTTTTCACTCTTCAGTCTATACAGAACAGAGCGACCAAATTGATTGTAGGCGGTCTCAGATTCAATCATGTAACTCCGATTTTGAAAAGTCTTCATTGGCTTACCATAAATAAGATTTACAAACAGAAGATGTATAAAGCGTTACAAGGTTTGTTACCAAGTTATCTGATTAATAAAATGGAAGAAAAATCTGTAATGTTGAGTGGCATGCAGATGATAATACTTTGCGGCTGTCTGGACATTAATTTACACATCCCATCAAGAAATTTAACTGTTTCAGAATCGGCTGTTTGGAATAATTTGCCATGATCTTAGGTTTTAATGCTGGATGATTTTAAGAAGAATTTGAAAACTTATTTATTAACACTGATTTTGATACTGAATTGTTTAGTTATGAAATCCATCATATTCTGTTCTTTGCATCAATTATTTTGATATGGATGGCTCTTTTGAGAACTTTGTAATTTTAATTAGCGCTCAACCAAATATTTTAATAATAATAATAATAATAATAATATATACAAACAGACAAACACATAGACTAGCATACACACATATACATACATTAAAACAAACACGTATACCAGCATCCTCACTCACATAAAAACGATAATATAAGCACATATACAAACACACACACACACACACAAACATACAAAGAAACGCATACAGACGCGCATCACTGCACATACAACACAATTCAACAGTCCGGCAGTAAACAGTTTCTCGCTAAATGCGTTCCTCATAAAGTGAAAACCCTGTGCATTATTGTTGTCATTTCTGTTGCTGTTGCTGTCTTGTTTATGTTGCAATTTTTATTGTTTCATTGTTTGCATTTGGAAGTTAGTTCATTTGGCTGAAGAGTTTGATCGCTGACTTTCTGCCAACTCTATATACGGTGTTGATGTACCAACGAGACATTCAGCTGAAGTTTCAATGTTTATTGGAGGTTGGCTCATTTGACAAGCCATCCTCACTTTGATAGTTTATTCAGTTAAATGTCCCTTCCCTCTGTGCTTTGTGACAAACAACGTTATTGTGATCAGGTCCATTTTGGCTAGGAACATCATTATTGAGTGAGTTAATTTAAATGGTAGATGCAATGCGTTTTGAGTTGTGTTGCACTGGCCGGCTTCAAATGGAGTCTGAGCAAAACATATATAATACACAGGTGTTAAATAGCATGTGTCTCTGATAAGGTATTTGCCAGTAAATACAAATATATTTATGAGTAATTTGGTGTGTTTGTGTTTGTGTAATCATTATCATCATCATCATCACCGTCGTCGTCATCATCATCACCAGTATTATTATTATTATTCTTTTTTTTATTACAATTATCGCAGCATTCATTAAAATTTCATTGTTGGAAAGACTGGTGAGATATTGAAGGAAGGCAGTTGTTGTGTTGTTGTTGTGTTGTTGTTGTGTTGTTGTTGTGTTGTTGTTGTGTTCATGATGATGATGGTGACGACGATGACGATGATGGTGGTTGTAATGATGATGATGACGACCTTGTCGATGTTGTTGAATGATAATTTAATGATGAATGTGATAATGGTCGTGAGGGTGGTTGTGATGACGATTGTGATGATGGTTGTGATGATGAATGTGATGGTGTAGACCATGTTGTTAATGATGATGATAATGATGATGATGATGACCATGTTGTTGTTGATGATGATGATGATGATGACAATTACAAATGAGTGCATCTCCCTCAATCACGACAATTTAAAGGGTAATCAATTTCCAACGACGGCTAATGAAGGTTCTATCATCGTGGTAACAAAGTGATAATAACTAACAAGTTGCAATGATAACATTAGTAGCACTAAGTAGTAGCAGTGGTAGTAGTAGTAGCAGCAGTGGTGGTAGTAGTAAAAGTAGTAAAATTAGTAGTATAGTAGTAGTTGTTGTTGTTGTATTTGTTGCAGTAGTAGTTGTTGTAGTAGTGGTAGTAGTAGTAGTAGTAGTAGTAGTAGTAGTAGTAGTAGTAGTAGTAGTAGTAGGCTAGTAGTAGTAGTAGTAGTAGTAGTAGTAGGAGTAGGCTAGTAGTAGTGGTGGTGGTAGGAGTAGTAGTGGTGGTAATGGTAAGTAAGGATAATCATTTCGAACTTAAATCCATGTTTGAAACTAAACTCATTTTAAATTGATTCATCAATAAATAATGAATTAATCAGAATAGTAATCGTACGTAACTGAATGTAGTGAGCATAAACTTTCTGCGTAATCTCGCTGGGTGTAACGTATTGTAAAGCAATCAAATTTATATCACACGGGCATTATGTGGCCAGGAAGTTTATTATATGCAGCTATACATAATGCATGTATTGGATTACAACACGTGTGCTTGTGTTGCCTGTCTGTCTGTCTGTGAGAATTTTTCGATTTTACTACCAATAACTCAACTAAACAACATATACTACTACCTCCACAAGCAACAAAAACAACTAAAAAAACCACAGCTAAACAGCAGCTACTTACAACAACAACAGCTACTACTACAGTTGTTGTTTCTGCTACTTTCAAAGCTGTTACTGCTATCAGCATAAACACTACAACATATAAAATAAAACCACAATTATCACGGATACAAATACTGCGTCTTTCACTGCTACTACTGCTGCTTCAACTGCACCACTACAGTCACTACTGCACCACTACAGTCACTACTACTACTACTACTACTACTACTACTACTACTATTTTTACAGCAGCCACCACTTCAACCACTACCACCTCTTGATATTTTATGCGATATGTACGTGCAAGAACACACTAGAACATGCCGGCTGGTTCATATATTTTGTTATTCTTTAGGTTAGGTGGTGGGTGGGGCTGGCGATCAGTTTCCTTATTATTATTATTATTATTATTGTTATTATGTTGCATTTTTTGATGATACTGGTGAACGGAATGGATGAGGTTATTATTTGCATTGTTTTTTTTTCTTATTTCATTTTCCTTTTTCACTTTTATTATTATTATTTATTATTATATTAGTCGTTAAAGTTATAAACAATGAATAAGGTATAAACACACGCCTTCCACACACGCACACACACGACACACACACAAATAAACTTATAAACAAATACATCACATACACACACTCACCACATACACACACATCTGTACGTATATGCAGATTATATCACACCTATACAAAAGGCCTAACCAGATGTAAGATTAATGGTAAAAATTTTTTATATAAAATCTTTCGACAGAATGGCAAATTTCTTTCTCAAAATTAAAAACGAAAAATTTTCCGATTTTTTCTTTTTGAGAAATCAGATCGAAATTTCTCAGTTAAATACAGATTTCATCAAATGTTTCATTGCTTGGTTTCTCTTGTACCCCAAAATAACAAGTGGTTCATTAATTTATATCATGTGAATTAAGAATAACATTTCGCATCATTTAAAATACAAAAGTAACTACACGCAGTGCACACTTTTCAGACGCTTGTATGACTTGGACATTGATTTTTATATAAATCTGTCGGCCATTGTTTGCTAATAGGGCGGAATTGAGATGTAGAATGTCTTGCATGGTATCATCTTCTGCTTCCATCTTTTTTGTTTATCAGATTATTTGTGACAATATTTTTATTTAATGATGTGTTTACGACTGAATGATCTATAAATTGTTTGTACTTAACAAGAAAAGCATGTAAGCAACATGTTTAATATAATATATCAAATATATCAGACAATTGAAATAACTAACAAATACTTAACAATCTAAACTGACTAAACTGACTTAGCAATCACATTTAAATTACAAATACAATCTGAAACTTCTTTTTTGATACTTGATTCATCGGATATACAAACACGATGCACCGATTATACGAACATTTCGACGTACATCGTTGCGATGCGGGAACGGTTTTAACCACCTCAATTATTCAAAACTCGAGTTTGATGCTTGAAGACATCGCGAAATGACTAGCGATATAAACCAGGCTCTGGATACAGATATGAATGAATGAATTAATTCCATGAAAGTTTCACTTAAATTGAACATCTCATAAATACTTCCACGTAATTTCAGTTTTAGTTGTATTCATTTTATTTTTTTAAATTTTCGTTTGGTCCAGGCACAATTAAGTTGCACCGCACCATTCTGTCAGGACTAAACACTGCGTCATACACTCAAGCATGTGGTATTCTATCACCGGTGTTTGTTTAAACATGAAAATATTATAACCCAGGACTAGACTCACTGACAATTGACCAGTCAAACTGGCAGCACATAAAATAAATAAGTTCATTTAATTTTAAAATATTGTTATACTGCATGCTCTTCACCGTTCTACGACGGTTACTGGACGAACAAAAAAGTTTGTTCTTAGGGAAACTTTTTCTGTTTCTGTAAACTCGCTTGCTCAACGTTAAATAACTCGATACTGTTCATGTACATCAAATAACGTGAGATGACTTACGTGTGGTGAGTATTGGTTAGTGTTTAAAACGTTATAAGGTTTAATAATCGAAATCGAACGAGAAACGATTCACCTATTATTTTAATAATATTTTTTTGTTTGATTGCTCTTAAATATATTTTAATGAAGTAAAATAACAAAACTTAAGACTGAGAATTAAAGCATAAACTACGGAGAGTAACGCAAATAATAATTTGTCAAAGTGTATAAGCAGTGTTCAAGAGCTTTAAGCGTGTTATAGAGAACACTTCACTCTCTTTAACTGCTATGTGATCGCCTATTATATACTAGGAGACCTTGCTCCCTGGAGCCTAACTAGTTGTCTAACTCCTTCTAACCAGTCAGTCCATATTGTATGTCAACTCATTCCTATTATACAAAGTATTATATGCTCTGATTAATTATACATTGTATTATCTTATATTAAGCTGCTTTATGTCTGTAAATTTGCTGTCTTGTGGTGAACTACTTTTATAACTTACCTATCATTATAACTGTATACCTACTTTAACACATATCTATATACAACCTATATTTAATTACACCTCCTAAACTAAATTATCATCTACATAATAATACTTTACATTTAAATGATATTAAAGGCTATATGCATTTTAAAACCAAATTTTAAAATATCACGTGATCGATCGAGCTAGTTATTAAAGTTTATTATTCAGCCGTCAATTTAAATTTTTCAAAAATTAAATTGAAAGTTTATTTAAAAACTAAACAAAAAAAAAGTGTCATGCCACTTTGTATTAATGTCACCTTTTTTAGCGAAGATTTTTTCTCTCAAATTAAAATTAAATGAAGGATAGAAAAAGAACAAGTCATGACGGTTTGCAAATGAAGACTTTAATTACATTTAAAACATTTTTTAAAAGTTCTGAAGTTCTGTAAGTTCTTTTCAAGATTATTTTCATTGTATTATTCTTTCAATTTCAACAAATTTTAATACTTTTCAACTTACACAGAAGAATAATTATTTTAAATTCAATGGTAATTTTTAAATGAAAAATGTTTAAGGAACATCCGCGAAGATGTTTTGAATTTTATAAACGCGATTAAATCTTTTCCAAGTGAAACTTCATCAAAACTGAAAGTTGGTTCGTTGTAATAAACAAATCGGTATTACGTGAATTACACAGCAGAGTACATTTATTTCAAGTTGGTTGGTCAATTTGTATTACATAAAGAACGCATTTTAACATGTCAATCCTTATGTTTTAAGCTTCAGATTAATAATAAATGAACTTCAAGTGCAAGTTTCTCAAGAAAATGAAACCAACTAGTAATCAATTTTCAAGCAAATTCTATTAAAATAATTAATATGGAATTTTTAAATTGCACTGTAAAAAAAAATCTTCTATGTAGTAGGCTTTTCAAAAAAAATTTCTAAAGAACAGAATTGTTTGAAATGACCATCCGCATATATTCTGCAATAATTTACAATTCTAAATCTAAAACTTGAACAACATGATGCAACTTTAGACATGCACTCTCCCATAAAATTCTCAATAT